TTCTCTTCTGGTAGAAGTCAGGAGAATGTCTGTTTAAATGTTTAATATACTTGATCAAACACTTATCCTTGCGAAGTCTCTTTCTTTGTTAAATTAGAATCAACTCATGTTCGCAGTCCAAAGCCTGAATATATTCAGTTCAGTGTGGGACAGGTAATAGTTCACAAAAGATTTGGCTATTCAGGAGTCATTGTTGGATGGGATGTAAAAGCTAAAGCTCCAGAAGGATGGCTACAACACAAATATTCTCCAGCGAAACAGGTTTGAATATATTAAACTCTTTCTTTATTAATACATACGCAGAATAACTCAGGTTAAAAAAACCCCTCAGAAACAGTTATGGACTTCATGCTAACCTAATGGAATATACTTAAGAGTTCCATATCACTTGTGCAGCTGAGTGATACCTCTGCTGCTTCTGCACTATTCTCCCAGTAGAGCTTTTCTTTTGCACCAATGATGGGTTAAGCTTCACTAGTCAGGGCTGTACTGGACACGTCTCAAATTAAAATTCGAGTTAAAATTACACAGTGTTGCATTTTAAGTAGCAGTGTCAACCTATAATGTTTGAACAGATTTCTCGTGGTGTATTACTAAAGTTGAGAGGCTGTTAAATCTTTTGTCTGTGTAGGTATAATTGGTAACATCTTCATTGCACCTAAGAAACGCAAGTAATCCTTTGTGTTTAATCAATTTCAGTTAGAAAGCAATGTTTTTGGGATCTGGACACTTGGAATGTAAATCTATTTAACAACGTATTTTTGTTAGAATTCTTGAAGCTTTTGAAATTTTCTAGCCTAAGTCCTTGTTGTATTTGAAAATCAGATGCTACATCTTTGTTGACAGTGCTGCTCTGATAACACAGTGCTGCACACTCTGTGGGTTGGCCGCTGACATGCTGCTTAAGTGGCAGGAAGGCACTAATCATTAAGTCAAAGAGGACTGAAAAAGAGAAAAAATGAGAAACTCTGCCTGTAGCAAAGAATTCATGTTCAGCTGGGAGCAGACATTCAGTCCTGTTTTGTGTGTTTTGTTCCTTCCCCACTGTAATTTTACCCACCTGCCACTCATTTTTGGCTTCTAAAGCACTTGCATCCTTGCGTTCTTTTCTCCTCTCCTTTTCTCCTCTCAGTATTGTTGTTGCCAACTGAACACCCGTGAATTTCCCATCAGGCATTCTGATTCTTTTTATGTACCTTATATTGTTCTGTTCTCCCAGTGACCTTGTATTCATCTTTATTGTTTTAATTTCAGTAACGATGACATGTGGTTTAAGTGTGTGTGTGTTTTTTAACTTGCCTTTGTTTTTTCACGTTACATGCATCAGCTGTGTAAAATGCCTTCTGACCATTGCGAGCCAACTACTAAGCTTGGTCCTTGCAAATCCCTTCTAAACATTAGCCAGGCTTTCAGCCCAACTTTGCCTTGCCTTTCTCTGACTTTCAGTTCTTTACTATATTGTTGAGCAGAGGCCACTGCCTATCACATTGATCAATACTAACTGCTTCATAAACTCCAGTTATCTGTGTGTATTCATCCATCCCTTTTTTTGTGTTTAGATTGTGGGTTATTTTGGGCAGGAATGTTTATGGATGGTAGCGAGTACGGTGGGACCCTGGCCCATGATTTGCGTTCATAGGTGCTGTAAAAATAATAGTAAGCCACACTTCTTTCTTGGCTGGACAATTTTTATATGTACGTGGAAGTTACCTTAGCTCTGTCCAGGATTGGGACCAAGATTGTCAGAGGTGGTATTATGCTCTGAATTTGGCTCTTTCTCTCTGGTGTTCTCTGTTGCCACTTGTGAAGGAAGAAGAGTGATTAACAAATTGTTATGGCACCTATGTACAAAAAGCAGGGATATTCTCAGTCATGTTTCTTGCAAGATCTATGGGAGAAAAGGTTAATTAAAATCTTGACTCTTAAGAGTTGTTTCAGATATGCCAAGAACTTAATGTATTACAGTTTTGATTGCTTTATATTTAATTTTCCAAAGTGACGTTGGTAAGATCATAAAAATGAACTTGCTGTATGTATATATTGAGTGGTTTTAGGTTCTGTAAGCCTAGTGAGCGTTAACATTATATAATGTAATCTTTAGTCATCAGCTCCCCTTGAGGCTATTTATTTTCCTTCTATTTTTACAGGATCTAAAAGATACTCCTCACTATCGAATTCTAATTAACAAAGCAAATGGATTTGGCAAATCTACAGCTTACATTCCTGAGGAAGAGATAACAATTATTATGGGATTAGAGGTAGTATTTATTTTTTATTCAGTTGCAACTTGTTTGTTATCCAGTAAGTTTAAAAGTTGTCTGACCTTTGGCTTAATAGATACTATCTATTTTGCAAAGTTAATGAAAACTAATAGAGAAAGCAGATAAACAAATTACTAAGGTACTTTCAAGTATGTGGTTTTGAAAGGTGATAAATGACCAAACCCAGGCACTGCCTACTTCAGATCATCCAGCTGCCTAGTTTTGTAAGTGTTTTAGCAAATTGACTTCTGTTATGCACAGGCTGTTGCAGACATGGACTTTTGTTTTAGGGTTTCACTGACCTATCAAAGTTGGACGAGTCATTTAATCTCTTTCTACTGGATCTAGCAAAGTATATTGGTTTCTCAATGCCACTCTGAAAAATCTGCATTTCAAACAGCTGCTGCTCAGCTCTGCCCAGACTGAATAGTGTCTCCCTTCTTAACTGCAAAACTCTCTGGGTGCCAAAAATTCTGTTTTATGTATCACCAAAGTCTTGGTAGCTTTTGATTTCTAGCTTATGCAAGGTGCACCTGATTATCTTAAACTAGTCAGAGTCTCTGATGCAGAAAATGGCTTTCAGGCATGCATGACACACACAAACAGCTTTTTGCGAGGGAGCCAGTGCTATCGTGGATGCCTTCTTTTAAATTGTGGATAGTGGAGTATCTGTATTTAAAATAACAGCAAGCAGCTGAACCATCTACCAGGAGATGCTTGGTCTAGTCAAACAGAGGAGATTCCAATGGGCGTCTTTTGCCTTTCAGGAGAAACCCCCAGAGGAACTGTGTAAGTTAGGCTGGCCTGAAGACTTTCCACGCTCTCTTGAAACTGTGCCACTGCACATAAAGGACCCCCCTCAACCAATGGGGCCAAACAGTGTGACACCATTACCTCTTTTATTTGGGAGAAGCCTTCGTTCCAGTCCTTGTTTCTGTTTTAGCCACTGTAATACAAGATTTGCTAACGTGCCTGAACTTAGGAGCAGGAACTATGCTATCCCAGATAAGTGTCATCAGTCTTTAAAATCGGGTTCTGACCACTCTAACTTGTGTGTCTAAAAAAGTGCACCTTTCATTATGTCAGTCAGCTGGCTACCTTTGGTTACCTTTATAGTCCATGGGGAGAAACAGGTACCTCACCTTAAACACTTACCTTGTGTAAACTAGCCTTTAAGATACCAGATTGCTTTATTCACCTGCATGACAGGCTAATTCTCCCCACAGATTCTTCGGGGAATTGATGGTAACAAGCTCACAAAATCAGGTATTTGAAAGTTGTCTAGTTGAGATTAATTACAAAGGGTGAGTCATGCCTACACCTCAAGTTCAAAAGAAGGTCTGTGGATTGCCCTCACTCAGCCTTTCCTACAGCCTAATAGGCAGAGTAATTTCCTGAAGAGTTGGGACTGATGAGAACATGCTTAGGCTTGTCCTGACCTTTTCCCAGTTGACAGTTCTAACCCGCTCACTGTAGGCTTTCCGCATCATGACAAGGCATGTAACTTGGATTGCCCTTTGTGGGTTTGCTTCTCCAAGTTGGACATTGCGGTACATTGACTTGGTGTGTCTTCACCATTTCCCTGACTGCTTCTTTACTGTTCCTGCTGCCTAACTGGATTAGATAACTGATCCAGCTGAAAAAAATAACAATTGCTCTACCAGCAACAAATGAGTGGCAACTACTTCAATAAGAAACAGTGCTGACTTTAAAACGTCAATGCCGGTGTAGATCTAGCATGTAGTATCTCATGAGATGTGTTCAATGTTTGTAGGTACTTTGATAGTTTGAGAAAGCCACTGTTCTGATGACATAAATTAAGTTAAGGTACATGGAAAATCCCCCTGAAAGTATCTCTATGTACATTACGTATTTAAAAACTAATCAGTTTTCAAAAAGTCAACTGTAGTAACTTTAATGATTCTTTTAAGTATCAGTTTGTATTTATTGCTAATTCTGGTGCTTATTCAACTTGAAATATTATTTTCTCAGGTACATCACCCTGATATGAAAGCCTATTTCAGTGGATATGATGGATCAAAATACATTATGCAGCCATGGCTGAAAAAAATCTATCCTCATGACTGAAGTACTTAAGTGTTTGTACATGTAATGTACATCCAGACAACGCAGTTCCTTTTTAAACTTCAGCAAACAGACACCAGGATAAAACTCATGTATATTTTTTCCTATGACGAAATAAAACATTCCTAAGCATGTTTTTTGTTGAACAATCCATTTCATTAGAAGCAAACACACTGCATGTTCAGTTTACCATGACTTGCGTCAGGGATTAATTTGCTTCCAAATTTGGGAGGAAAGGTTTAAATATAGCCAAGTTTCAGCTAGGAGTACCACAGGTTTTGCACATCAGATATCTTGCCCTGCTACAGGGAGCAGAGGAAGAAACAGAACAGTTAAGAACTGTACTTTCAGAATTAATCGTAACCTGAATTGTAGGGGATACAGCTAAATAAAGGCCAACAGGAACTGAAATATTTCTGGGGAGAGCTGCAGTAAGTAAATCCTACAATACTTTGACTACTCTCTTTACAAAAGCATGCATTGTGCTGCCTTCAAATGATATGTGCAAAGGAGCAGTTAATCTACTTTTTTGCACCTAGAGTGATGTTAAGAAACCTTCTATGTTGGCTCACTACACAACCGCATTCTTAATCTCCTCTCTTAACTTTACTTGCTACCATAAGAATAAAGTAAAAAAACAACAACAAAAAACTCAAGAAAGCATAAAACTTTTATTAAGAAAATGTGTAGGTTTCAAAAGTTTCTAGAGCAACTTGTTTCTTCTGTTTTCTTTTCCCTTTATCTCAAACACAGCAAACACTCTACAAGAAGCATAAGCAGTAGCATTCTGGATTCTTTCCTGCAGAGTCAGTGAATCTGGGGAGTTTGACAGATGACTGTCTATGTGGCCTCCCCATTCTTTTGTTTCTTCTTCCCTTATTAATAAAGGTTTTCCCAATGACTGACCAAACAGTCGACAGACTTCTTGAGCTTTCCGCCGTGTGTTTCCAACAGCAGCAACACATACTTGACGGCTGAGAGGTAGAAAAAGCAGCACAATAACAAGCAGGGCCGACTGATGCACAAGCATTCCTGGCAAGCATCTTCTTTTTAACGCCTCAGCTTTTGTAACTGCTTAGATGTAAGGCACATCACCTTCCCCCAGATTCTGGGTGATAGTTTAGGAGTTTGAGGGGGGAGTGTGCAGAGAAAATATCAGCATCCTCATTAGCTATGATGAAGCATCTCTAACACCTATACGCTGCAGGCATCCATGGTGTGTGATGCAGAGCAAGAGCTCAACCTTTGCTCCAGGCACTCGGGTGGCCCAGCTGTAAGGCACACTAGCACCTATTTAACCTCACCGGCCTGATTTCCAGACTCCTGTGTGATACACTTCTGACACCTCCAGAGCCGTTAGCACAGCTAGTTAAGCTTGCTTCTTGGATCAGGCATAAGTCTTTTCTTTAAAGAGGCAAAACCCAAACGAAGATTAAACTTCCCTCTGCCCCCCCAATGTCAATGGGAGAAGCAGGACTTTCAATAGTTAACACCTAAAATATCAAGACCGTGAGCTTCAAAGTAGCATGTGTTGATGCTGAGCAAGCACCGTACACGATTCTTTTCAGATGATGTCAGCAGCTAAGAGTAAAGGGAATTGGCAAGTGTACTTAGAATTATCAACATCTGGTAACACACTTGTACCTTCATGAATAAATACAAATTAAATCTACATGTGCTTATGTAACCACAGTCAAATTCTGTTGACCTAATAGAATCATAGAATCATTAAGGTTGGAAAAGACCTCTAAGATCATATATTCACAGTAGATTGTACTTCCAATAGAAATCAGTGGGAAAATATTTTTTATTACATTCTGCTTTTGCACAGGGACACTGTAGAAATAATAAGCTGTATCTTCTCGGCTGAACAGCATTAATTTATAAGTTATATTTAAAACAAATACTGAAACCTTTGAACATAAATTTTAATAGGTATGAAGGAAAATATTTGCTCCCATTACAAACAGTATAAATTATGTATTCATATTAACTGTTATCTGAGGCTGTAAAATTTGTGAGAGAGAACTTACCGAAGGGTGTCTACAGCTTCCGGTGTATGGTAGAAATGAGGTGGACTGATGGTAACAGAGGTTCCTAACTTTTCAATGAGCAGATTGCAAACATTCTGCATTTTTCCAAAATCGCTGAATATAATACAGACCTGGGAGTGAACACAGACATCACAAAAGTAATTTTCTTCATTTTTCCCTATGATTCAACACTTGTATTTACATCAGTATAAAGCCAGATATGTACAAACTAACTGAATATACCAGTCGTGTATATAACTCCAACATTTATTTACTTAAAACATTTTTATACAGCCCTAGAGACTATCATTAGGTTTGCAACAGAAAGAAGTTCATAAAATGGTTTAAAATTGAGCATTAAGAAATGCTCTTTTGTGAGGAAGTATGGCATTCTTGGTATGTAGACAATTTGAGGAATGAACGTGCTCTTTGGGACACATGACTAGATGCATCCTGCTTCTTCCCTTTTTAGATTACTAGATGTTAATTATGCAGAAGCCCAAGCAAAATGATGTGGAAAACATTGTGCAGGAGGGAAAACTACATTTTAATTCCAAGCGTTAGGTTCAAGAAACCTAAACTATGAGATTAAACTAAGCTTAGGCCAGTCCAGCTTGCAGTGGGCTCAAAACCCTGTGTTGGCTGAACAGACTCACTCCTGTGCCTACAGAGAACTGGGCACTTCAGGCTTGGATTAAAAACAATTTAAACATCTAGCTGTCTGCGGCTTTGGCAATAAGAAGCATTAAATACAGATGCATCAGGAATTCAGGTGCTTTCCCAAGTGCTGCAAAGCAGGCATCACTATCAGCCCCGGGTCCAGAGCCCTACAGCCTTCCTTGTGGGGAAGTGCCAGCCAGGCGGCAACTTTCAAGGCAGGAGCCAGCCTTTTTCTGTGGCAGAGCACAGTCGCCAGGGGTCAAGCAATGATGCCGAGCTGCTACAACTTTCAGGAATCAGAAATCCTAGGTCCCAAACTCTTTTTTAGAACAACTAAACCCTCATCATCAGGGACAAAGGGTCACACCTGTTGTGCAAAACTGCACCAAGTCTGCATCTTAATCTCAGCTGCGTACCCTTTATCTGTAACTTGGGGGTTGGATCACTTTCTGGAAGGTGCAGTACCAATTCGAACAAAGACTGAAGATGAGACTAAACCTAGAGTTTTTTCTTTAGTGGGAGTTCTTGCCATATATAAAAAGCATACACCCTCTTGTGCTGTTTTGCCAAAAAACTGTCATAGTTGTATTTTGTGGAAAGTTGAAAGTCTCACTACGAGGACTGTCATAGTGTTTTCCAGATTGCTATCAGTGTTTACAAGATTAGTTCCCTCAAGGGGATGAAACAAAAGAATGATCAAACAAAAGCACTGTGGGTCTTAAGCAAGAGACTGCTCAGACCGGGGCAGTTCTGGGCTCTCAGGAACTTCATTTGTTAGAAAAGCAGCACGTAACCAGGTACCCTCAGGGGCAGAAAACAACTGAGCAATAGCTGTGAATTTTGTTGGTTTTTTCCTTTAAAAATCACCGTTTTCCATTAGAGCTAGATGCAATAAATTCCACTTACATTTACAGAGGATACCTGAGCATTAAAACGCAAAGCAGTGTTTCAATTTCTTCAATAAAATTATGATTAAGGTGAAAAAGTGTGAAAAATTAACATGAGGGTATGCAAAACCATTGTGGACATTGTAAGGTTTGGGTAAGGCTGTAAAGGACAAGAAGTTATGGTTTATAAGGAGGCAAGTATATTAAGAAATGCACAAAACCAATATAATCTTCATCCCATGAGATCATCATGCAATAAATGAACTATTATGATTAAGATATTATAGAGCTTTGTGATCTCATACACAACTTCGTTCTTCTGCCTATTTTCCTTTGTTATAGCATGAATTAAAATTTATCTCCTTACAGTTGAAAGCATATCTTGGATTCTTAATTGTACCTTAAAATAGCTATTTGTCTGGGAATTTCTTCAGTCTTCTAAAAACTCTTACAGTAGACAAATGGTAAAAAGAGTTTATAGAATGAAATAATGCACAACTTCCATGATTTTATGTATAACACAAATATAATGGCAAACTCTTTAGTAAAAGAAGCGAGTGTAAGTTAATTTTAAATTCATTTATATTGCTAAAGCATGCAAACATGCTGGTCAATGGAACTTCATTGGTTTATGAAGCTGCACTAATGAAACAAGTACATAGATAAAGGGGGAAGCAAGGAGAAACTAATCTCTGCATAAAGAGCGACCACGCTGCTACATAAGCGTACAGGGCAGCCACAACCGCAGTACTATGGCTAGATTTTTCAAGTTCTGACATCCAGGTCATAGGCAACCATACAGCTTTTGAACAGCAATTACAGCGGGTCCAAGCTGCCTACAAATGAACACTAAATCCATGTAATTCATTTCCACGTACAATCTTTGTTGTATAAAAATTAATAGCAGAAGGGAGGTGATTGGTTAAGTTACCACGTAAGACTGAAGTTGTAAGCCTAAGCTTGTCTGTAGCCTAAATAATAATTCAATATAGTTTTATTTATTTTAAGTACAGCTTACCTAAAAACCATGGTGATTTAAGCTTTCATGATAGTAGGTGTCTACTTTATGAAGTTAAAGTCATTCAGAACATGACACTGATGCATATCATTTAAGTATCTAAAGACTCATTTTAAAATCCAAATGTTGTTCTCCACATTCTTGATTATTTCTGTATTTATTGCTGTTATTTAGATGAGAATATGCCTTAAAGCAAGCAAGCAAACTAAAGAGGCTGAACCCTGTTTTAGGGGATTGTAAACAACAGCTCTATAAAACAGCTATCATTTTATTGCAGGCTTCCAGGTTTACTTCATAAGAATCTGTAAATTTGCTGGGTAACGATTAAAGTTTGATGCTCTAAAAAGATCCATTGACTGAAGACACATCATTTCCCTCAGTGAATGTTTCCAGCACAGCATTTATTTCTTACTACAGCATGAACATGCAAAATATACTCCCCTGAGCTGCTTCTGAAGCAAATGGGATTATTCCCATAATACTGAGCTTTCACACAGCAATTTTTACCTACAGAATTCCAAGTCAATTACCTAGGAAACAATTAGCTTTGCTTTACTTGCAGCAAGCTGATGGCAGAGTCGTGCAGAATAGACCAAAGTCCAGGTGCTGTTCAACTGTGGCTTAAACGGATCTAGATTAGGGCTGCCATGCCACTGTTGTCCCCCATCCACTCTTGTCCTCTGCCTTGCATTGCCTCCAGTTCTAGGGAGCTAAAATAATGGAAAAAATAAAAGCTAATCTGGAAAAAAAAAGTTATTAACTGGAGCAGTTTTCTGAACTCACCTATCACCTGATCACCTAAGTACAACTCCTTGCAAGAAGTAGAGGGCAGGAAGGGCTGTGGGTGAAGGAGAGTGCAGAATCGTGGGTTTGCTTACACTGCCACAGAATGACAACCTTAGAGCTCCAGAACCAAATATTCCCTTCTGTAGCATTGTGTAATATTTAAAAAGCACACATTCATCTGAGAAGAAAATAATTCTTTCTATGTTACAGCAGCAGAAAACAAGTTCTGCACACAACAGAAGACTGCAGCTGAACTCTGCTTTAAACTGCAGTCCTGCAATAGTTTCTTTGGACTACACTGCCTTTACTGTAGAGAACATCTACTCCTTGGTATGAGGAAAGACAGTCTGCAAATTTTCATTGGTCCTTGCCACATTTCTTATTCTTTTTTTATCATTATTTTTGGTTAGGTTGAATACGTACCTCTGCTTCCATCTGGTAAGTATTTTCTACTCTACTAAAATCCTCTGTTACAGTCATATTTTCTTCCTAAAACGAAGTACAAGAATATAATCTTAAAAGACAGAAATTAAGCATCTGTTGGAAATGTCTGTACATTGTGTCCTGTAAAAGTTGAACTGTTTTGGCTTATTACTTATGACTTAGCAACAGAAATTTGGAATTTTCCATGCAAATCTCTTCAGTTAAAAATTAGCTGGATGTTAAAGACTTCTTGACATTATTTAAAGTAAATTATACAGTAGCTCTATAATATAATTTCACTGCTATTCACTTGAGGAGAACAATTAGGTCTTAAAAGTGACTGCTAGCTAGAAGCTGTGTGTATCAGCATGTAACTGTAAATTCACCTGGTCCAAAAAACTAGAAGCTTCAATTGTTTTCAGAAAATTAGTATGTGAAAAGTGCTTTTCAGCCTGTGGCAGGTGCACCCGCCTCGACGAAAGACTGGGGGCATCAGGACCGCTGTGTGCTTATTTTTCGGGCCCTTACTTTTGTGCCTTTAGGGTGGCGAGTGCTGACTGTCACGTACACACCTTGGATGTCATGTATACACCTCGGGCGAGGCAGAAGAAAGTCAAGGCCCTCACCCAATTAGAGTTGACCACAGGTCAGATTCGACTGGGTATAAATGGAGCCTGCCGGAGAGCAAGAGGAGCCGACCCTCCTTGGAGCAGCGGGTCTGCCATCAGGGACTCTCCCCTTGGGTCAGGACGCTGCCCAAGGAAGCTCCTGGAGGCCGAGCGCCCTCATCTTACGGGCGAGTGATTGTGCGCATCGTGGATCCTCATTTCCAAAGCGGCTGAGCAGTATTAATTCCTCGTACACCATCCTGAACCTGTGGTTTACTGATGTTGTTGGAGTGTTGAACGATTTTGATGAGCCTCATTTCTAGTTAGTTTTCTGCTAAACAATTTTACTTTAAATAAAGTTTATTTTTAATCTACCACCTGCCTACGATTTTGTGACCCTCCGCGACACAAGCCCCTGTTTTAAGATATTTTAACAATAGCGGCTTGCAGCAAGGTGACATGAACGATGACTGAGCACTGGTTATTCTGGCAGAATGGTAACCCTTAAAAGAGACTATTCCACCACTGACACTTTTGTATGAACAGCAGCTACATTATTCAACATAATGGCTGCACAGAGCACCAGCAAATCCTGTAAGACTTATAAATAAGATACTGAAGTAACTAAGATACAGAATAATTCCAGTTACATCTGAATATTTGACCAGCTTGCTAGCGGTCTAACAATCACATTTCTTTCACCCACTTCCCTCTTTGGTGAACAGTTTGGATGAACAATTTACTGTAAAATTACTATTACACAACAAAAAGCACAGTTTACAATTTAATTGTAAATATAATTTTGCATTTAATACCCAGGAACTGTAGGGAAGCAGATACTAAGCCTTCCAATTACTGAAAAAGTTTTACTTACTAAATTTATTTGCATAGGAAAACAGTATTTGCTTTCAGTGTTGACACATTACAAAAGATGCTTTGTGCCAGAATATTTCCTAGAGAAGCTCAAATTTTCAAGTTTATCATGTAGCATGCATACGTAAGTTTATATAAATGACATTAATCATGAGAAGCATTCTCCTTTTAAAGTACCATATGGAAATTAGATCCATAATTACCATTGCACAGCAGCCTACAAGAAACAAATTTTGAAATTTGGATTTTATGATTGATTGGCAGTGCTCAAATTCAAGCACAACAGTCCTATTTTTGGATGACTTCTTCCAGTAAGGGCAAGGACCAGGGCCAGTTAGTCCCTAAAAAATGTATTTCCCCTTTTGCAGTCATAGGTTTGAGGTACTTTGGCAGCGTGGCTGGTTGTGGTTTGCTAAAGAGTACTCAAGTCAGTCTAGCACCAACAACTCATTTAATTTACAAAATGGAGCAAATCTTACTATTTACGATAGAATCCAATTACAATTGACAAGAAAGGTTATTTCTAGAGCTCTTACATTATCTTATAGAAATAACCACACAGAAAAGCTTTCTTCTACAACTCATATTTTACAGAAATAACTATACTGTAATAAAACTTCAGAGTAAACATAGAAAAACTGCATTAGTTTTTCCTTGTCCCCGCTCCTTAATCCTTTCTAAAAGAAGTTCTCTTTCCTG